GGGCCTGGTACTTAAATGGCAGAAGGGTGGAGGTGGGTAGGATGGATTGGAGGAGACTCTGATATCCTACGGTGCTGGCGGGAAGAAAGAGGACAGGAGGACGTGGAGGAGGTGGGACCTGGGTGTTCTATATTATAAGTAAGTTATAAGTTATAGTAAGTTCTATATTATATCTGCAGTGTGTCCACAACTCCTAACTGCGTGGTTATTTTTATGTATATGTTGGTGTAAAGAAGCGTGAGGAAGGCAGATACCCTGCCACCAAACCAGCATTCTGGTACTTAATAAGACAGTGTGGTCTTATTTCCCTTACACTTGATCCAATTAAAATGATGGATGCTGTCAAAACTTCAATTAAATTCAGAGCCAAGAAGCCCTGCACTCAGTGGAGGAAAGTTGCAGTTCTTTATCTTGTTGTAATTTGTCACCACATCAGGCTCCCCAGACAATTTATTTTAATTGTTTGCCAGTGACATAGTACTTTGTGTTCAACCTTCTGGAGGGATTTGCCTTGAATGTACCGCTTTGATTCTCTACTGGATCCTCTACTTCCAACTATGAATGTCCACTCCTGCACCACATCAAGCTTGCTGCACCACAACATTGAATGGAAAAGATGGAGACATCTTGTGCTTTAGGCCCTCTGCCACACAGCAGGAATCCTTTCACTGTCCTTTTGTATTTGCGTGGTTAGGAGGGCAATGAAGGGATCAGTGGGTTTCCAGCAGGCAATTACAAAAATGCCATAATCTGCAGCAAAAACAAGGGAAAAATGGTGTGGACTGAAAAGTGGGAATAAAGACTCAAACGGCAGAGAAGGCGCAACAAATATATTTACCAGTTTTACATATCTCCGCAGTATAAATCAGCTGCCAGTTGTCTACCCGGAAGTGACTCCTGTTGTTTGCCATCCATTCTTCAGGCATAAGGAGGTATATAATCAATAAGTGTCCAAACAGAATGCAAAGCTAACTTTCAGACTCTGACTGACTGCAGAACTCACCAGGATTTATTTTGTTATTTTCCTCCAGTCTCATTTTTGGATTTGTCTCGTCTATGAAGTACACTTATTAAGCCCTGAAATAAGCACCATTTGTTTACCAAATTATAACACTTTCAATTGGCGCAGACATGTCTACCTCAATTCATATTTTCTTGAGGAAATTCATGTCTATTTGCTTATTTTTATAGGTTTAGTATGAAATCACTATAACATTTACATGCCATTCTTTCTGACTTCCAGACATGTGTAGTGTTTCACATTTGTCTGGTTTTGAACGGATAGCTTGTTGTATCTTTCAAAAGTCTTTCTCCCAAAAGAGAAAGTTTCTCTCCACAAGCTCATCCACAGTTGATAGCTCTTTTCCCAGAACACTGTACTGAGATCAAAAGCGTATCAATCAGCATTCTGGCATTGTCTCCTTCTCTTGCTCCTGCATTGAGACGGTGTATGTGGAGGTTATACTTGTCTTGCCCTTTCTAATCCCAGGAGGATCTCAGTATTCTGTATGTTTTTGCCAGCTTGATCAATTCAACACTATCAGCTCCACATCTACAGTACAAACCTGAATGTAAAATCTTCCTTAATATTTATTTTGCATGGGGTAGTGACATCAAAAACTAGGGATGAGATGCACATTCTTAAGACAAAACACTGTATAATCACTACAACAGGGAGTGATAGGATGACAAGCAAATCAGAGGAACAGATGGGAACTTCACCACTTCAACAATGATGATAACAGCATTACATGAAAAAGCTGTCCATCAGAAAAAGAGTCCTCTCTACTTACAAGTGCTGTTTTAGGTAAATATTGCATCAAAAGATACACCCACCATAAATCAAACATCTCAGGAGTCATTATATTTAATACAGGGCTCTTTTTTCCCCCACCCCTCTGTCTCCCAGTGATGCATTAAAAACAAAGGATTCTCTAAGGGGAAACCTGTGATCTCAAAGAAATATTTATTTTCTCATGCTGTGAAGCAGTTCATCTGAGATGCTTCAGAAAATTGCTCCTATTCCCCCCTAGTGAAAATGTCTAAAAGACTGTATACAGCTTTGTTGCCTTTGAAAATGTATCCCCTGCGGGCTTTTTGGCCACTCCTAAATCCCTTAGTTACTTTCATTGTTTGTGTTGCCGTTAATATTTCATAAGGATCTTTCAATATTTATTCATCTTTTTTCTCCACGTAGATAACCATCTTACCAACTCCCTTGTATCATGCATTTTAATGCACTGAGAAATCATGTCCCGCAAGTGCTAGTATTTCTACCCCTCCCCCGTAGTACAAGTATCTTCATTAATAAAACATAATGGATGCCTCTGCCAAGAATCACTCCCTTTCAATAAATGTAATGTACAATAGGTTGGCGTAAAAGCTCTTATCCATACAAATGAAAATTACATACATCTTCTGGTGTTTTGATCAAACCATAAAAAAAAAATCATACAAATGTTACCAGGTACATGTTATGTTTTAGCTTACTTCAGTGCCTAATGGTAATGAAATAGCCCATTGAATTAGATTTAATAGAATGACAATACAACAAAATAATGCGGAAGTATTCTAATCCTTTGCTTAAGTAGCAATACCAAATTGTAAGAATACTCCATTACAAGTGAAAATGTAATTTTGCTAAGATTATGTTTTTACCTAAATGTACATATGTATCAAAAGTAAAACTACCTAATACAGAAAAATGTGAGTTATACTATGATATATTATAAGATGATTAGTACTGATGCATTAACGTGCAACATAGCATTTTTCTGATGTAGGTAGTTGAGGCTGCTCTAGTTTTAACTTTAGCTGAGTAGTTGTATCATATTTTACGAACTCATGTTTTATTAAAATGTTAATTTGTAAAATGACTTGTAACTGTAGCTAAAATTGGAAAGGCCACTTTGGGGCAGAGGAAACAAGTTGTCAGCACAAAATCATCTGGTATTGCAAACTTGTTAGCAAACAGTAGTTTATTTAGATAACTGTCAGTTTTAAAATAAAATGTAAGGTTTTCGTTTTCACATATAGCGCTCTGCATGGTCAGGCACCAGGGTACATCTCCAACCTGCTTCACCCCCGTATCACCATGAGGTGACTTAAGCTGATGATACACGGGGCAACTTTTTGAGCAATGTTGCTGGGCAGTCTTGCTAGTGGCAAGTCTGACTATGTTTTGAACGGATAGCGGCAGTGCGGAGCGGGTGGCGGAGTGGTGGGGGAAGGAGATTACGGTAGTAATCTTTACTCATTACCATTGACGGCAACGTTGCCCTGCACGATTGCTCTGCACGATTGCTCTAAAAGTTGCTCTGTGTATCATCAGCTTAAGTCACCTCAGCTTTAGGTCTTCAGACGAGGGCTTACTAGTTGTTCTGCGCGCTCGACTAAGAACAACACTGCTACTGCAACACTAGATTTTCCCTTTGGCGATAAAAATATCTATCTAGCTATCCAGCTCGCTTAAACCATTGTTAACTGTGAATTGAAGAATTGAAGAATTGTAGAATTGGTTCTATTTCCACCTCCACCTCGTTTTGAATCTGGAATTCTACACATGTATTTCAGAAAAGATACAACATCACGTTATTGGCTGGACCAGAAGATATCTGAGGGCGAGGCAGTTTGCTCTGGGCACTGGCAGGGGAGTCAAACAGGGTAGATACTTATTTGCACGTTTGCACATAAGTTATCTCCCTCTGTTTCTTTCCTCTCTATCATTTCTCTCTCTCTTTGCTTTCCTATTTGTTGATCCATCACAGGACTTACTCATGGTTATTGTTTTCTGTAAGACACACCTGGCTGCTGGTAATAATCCACTATTCCCCGTTGTTGAACTCAACTCAACACAACACAACACACATCTACATCTTCAATATTTAACTTCTTCCCTTCATACATGGCTTGTTGGGGCTGAATTTTTCATATGCGCTCAAAAGCCTAGCAGTGTCTCACACAGGTTTAAATGCAAATATAGCAGAACTCTAAGTCATGTGATAAATTATTGAAGCATTTTAATACTAGAAAAGTGAAGATGCATCTTCAAAAGAGGGTCTCAAAAGGAGCGGTCTCCAATATACATTTCTTTGCAAGACTAAACTGAACAGTGTAAGCTTAAATAATGGAATTTAGAACACATTTTAAATTATGAGTGGTTGTCAGCTTCACATAAGAACCCCTTTGGTCACTACACTTATTAAGTCTTTTTAAAAAATCCAGATCACAATGACAGGCATATTGTTAAGAATTAATCCTTTTAATGCCTAAGCAGTAATCATACAGGAAACTTTTGACACAAATGGTTACTGGAGAACTGAAAAGGAGGCTGATTGTAAATTATCTGCAGCTCCTATGGCTTGAATCAAAAGGAGCTCAATCACCTTGTCAAATTGAGCAGCAAGCACCAGCTCCTGTTTCTACGGCCATTAGTCCAAGAAATCTGCTCTGACCTACTCGATTCTGTTGAAACTTTAGGAAACTGAAGTGCAAACGCTCAAGGTGAACAGGAGTTTTCTGCAGCATGTCAGAGAAGTTTAGACAATCTCAGGGAATGACAGACCCTCGGGGGCAGCAGTGTAACCCAGATAATCAGTTGGCAAGGGATTATTTCAGTCTAGTGTATATTCCTTTCAAAAAGTGAGTTTGGTATATATATATATTTATCTGTTGTTATTTTTTTCCATTATATTTGACCTCTCTTGAGATCAGAATCTCTTTTTTTTTGGAGACAGTCTTGACCAGACTGGCATCACAAATATGTTATATAAAAACACAGACAAACACAGGGAAGAGAGGAGAAAAAACATCTCAACATTAACACACACCACAAAAAACTAAAAGTAACTGAGTAAAACAACTTTACTGCCTGTCACAATATGAAAATAATAATAATTTCTGTATAACATTAGTCATATAAATATTTGGGAATGATGTAGAACAGTTTCATATTGTCACATTGTCAAGTTCTGTCTTAGTTTTAGTTAATAAGATTACATATTATGTTCATCTATTCTTATGTTGGGGTGTTATTGAGGATTTAATGGTCTGCTGCAATGTACAATAACATAAACATTATTAAAAATAGCCACCAATAATTTTACTCTATGTGAGTCCATAATTAACCAAAGTAAAAAAAAAATCAAACTGAGACCCAGTGGAAAAAAGGACATTAATATTTCAATTTTTCTCTTATTAATTTAATCACATTTCATATGCTGATTTAAATTGGCCACGCTCCTCCACTCAGAGTTGACTCTAATCCCAATCTAATTACTAATTATACGGTTGGAGGTTGATTGGACCAATCCTCCCAGCCAAGGCCAATTTGACTCCTTCTGATGTCGAGCACCTTTCATGTGCAATGTCTCCCAGGTTTTGAGGACACAGTGTGGGTGCATGTGTGTGTGTCTGTACACGTCTGTGTTTTAATCAAATCATTATTCAGCACCCTCAGTCAATAACAAATGAAAATGTTTTCCCACTGCTTCTAGCTGACTAACAAATTAAACAACAAACTAAAAGATCTGACCCCAGGTTGTTCCTATTCAGTGATCTGAAAACAAATGTGTTTTGGTTTAATAATGCTACCCAGTTGTTACAATGGAAAATAATTAAAATAAATCACTTAACAAAAAGATCTGTTGATGATCATCATGATATTTTGATTCTTTGTGATACTTTATTGCTACTGTAGTTTGACACATATACAATCTTTATGCTTTTTGTATGCTTTTTGTGGGTTTTGACATTAATAGATAAACACAATCCTAATGTTCTTCAAATCGTAGACACCTCTAATAATTTTGCAGATTGTAAATTAGTATAAATCAATCATTTGAAGCTCTGGGAAACATCATTGCCTAATATAAAAATATTGGGAATCCCATGTGTTGCATTGCAGCTGAAAACTGAGAATAATAAACTTACAGTAAATTGTCATTTAAAGTACTGTAAATAAAATGAATGAATCATGTGGATGTGTTAAAATGTGTGATGGTATTTGTTTGGAACAATCTGCAACTTGCTTGCCTTGCTTCACAAAAACTGTGCCCTGGTCAGTTTTCCCGGGCATAAACTCTTACAGTCTGTTACCCTTACCACTCTGGTCACAGTGCCAGTACCAGTGGAGTCTGATGATAATTTCCCGAGTGATCAGAGGAAGAGACACTTTGGGTATGGATCTTTTTTTTGGAGCAGACAAAGACATCAGGCTGCGGCACAGATGGGAAGACCATAGGATCTTGACATCACTGACGAATGGAACAAATGATGCATTTCAGTGTGTGCGTGTATTTATAATTCACTGCCTACGTATGCACATGCCAAGGTGTGTGTACAATCTTCCTTTTCTCTCCACTGCTCATTCTGTTCCTAACATACTCAAGAGCTTTGCAGTTAATGAGGACTTGATATTTACTGCTAAATCCAAATCATCATTTTCAATCTTATCCTCAAGCAGTATTTCAGTTAAATTGCTATTGCTTTAGTTTTGTGAATTATTTTGTATATTCCACTTACCTGGACTGCACAAGGCTGCATCCCATTATCCATCCTGCATCCACCGAGAATGTTGCTCTAACAGTCAAAAACACTGCTTCAAAATACTGAACAGAATTTGCAGGATATGTTTGACAACACAGACTGTATTTCAGTCTATTTTAGTCAAGCTGGGCTTCACTTTTCAATACTTTAACTGCTCTGCAATGATTGAAGTACATTGAATGGAAACAGAAAAACACTGTTTCATTGTGATGATTTTTCACCGTGAGGTGCCTGCTAGAGAGCATTATGCTAGGCAGAGAAGTTAAATGTGAAGAGAGTTAAATGAGTTGCAAAACTGTTTGTTTAATGTTGTACTGGCCTTTCCTTGTAACCATGCAGTCAAGAACCAGTACATGACCCCTCCTATTGGTAGTCCACCTTGCTCAGAGACAGTATTGTGAACTTCAGTATGCTGACTGACACATGACACTGGAAATTGCAGACTGTGTTCATGCTACTGCCGACTTAAAAGCACAACACCGTTGTTTGTTACGTTTTAACCTACAACATGCTGTCAGTAAAAAACACAGTCACTATACAGTATGAGCATCCATGTGGCGGTGAAACCTAAAATTAGGTGAAATGAGGCTTTGCTCTTGTGTCCCACATGTAAGTCAGCTTTAATTTGAATAATACCCTTTCTAAGGAAATTTAAACACACAGTAAACTTTCTAATCAAGAAAATGACAATCATTTTGATGCTTTTTTGTTTTCAGTTTTGAGTCTAAAGCTTAAACCGGTCCTGCTTGTTGTCTCTCTGTGTGGCAGCACAAGCTAAAAACTCTGTGGTGTGATCACAGCGTCTGCCGTGCTAACCCGCAGCCGTGACTCTGTGAAGCACATTTTACGCGTTCACACATTACGACTCCTCTAAGTTGTGCTTACTGCAAAATAGGATGGAGGAAAGCAGTGGATACTTCATTATGAAAGTGTGCACGATGGCAGGAAGGCAAGGGTCATAAAATTATTTTACCCCAAGAACCTGAACATTTCCCTTTTTTATTTCTTAGAAGGTTTCCTTAAAAGAACTATGTAATTTGCTATAAATTATGAGTAAAATAAGATTTTCTGGGAGTGAACATTGAGCACAAGCAAATATTAATTAATTTTTTTATCATTAGAAGCTATTTTTGAAAATTCTTCATAAATGTTGAGTTGCATGCTGCACTGTAGAGACTTTAGTATGTTCATGTCTTGCTGTGCGCTGACTGGGGGTGTCTGAAGGTTACATCAGCAATTAAGAGGAATTCATCAACTCGATGTGTACCAATTTTCCATTGCCTCTATTTTCCTTATTATTAATAAAAAATTAATAGGTATTTTCAGGAAAAATATAATTTTTGGAAAATTATTAGGAAAATACTGATTTGTAAATAAAGCGTTACCACGCAATCTTATTAGCTCACATTTGTGTTACCTGTTCTTCTGATGAGCACACACTGGGCAGGTTCTCATTAATGGATTTGCAATCAATTCACACATTTGATTCATGTTCATTTAAAGACGGACGTGATATACAACGGGGGGGAATTGTCTGGTGCAGTGAGAGAATTTCCTTTCAGCCCTAATTGATGCTGTAATATATATTATACATCTAATTGAGAGCGATGGAGATATATAATACAGAATAATTTTTTGTACATCATCTTTCCCATAAGGCTGCTATGTGAGAGGTGAGGCTTTGAAGGTGTAGTTGTATGCAGTAATAAAGGTTGCACTGCTTTGAACTCAAGAGAACAATGGAAACTATATTAATGGTAGAGTTCTTAGGGAAAATAAATTGATCTTCTGTCCGTTCTGCTTTGGATTTTTGCCTCAGTACAGGACCAAAGGGGCATTCTTTGTTTGAGTGCAGAGGAAAATAGTGTAAAAATAATGCAGGCACTGCACCAGGAGTCCGCTCTGTTGACATAACCTCTAATAAAGGTTTTATGTCATTGTTTGAGTATATGTGACTCTGTGTGTGTGTGGCTGTAACCGCTCGTAATTCATAGTAGTGTGGGCAGTGTGTGTGTATTTGGAAATGTCATCTCAATTAGTTGTTGAGCCCTGAGTCATGAGAGCTCTGACAGGGCAGTAATGAATGGCATCACACTGGGACTAAAATACACCCCGGCAACTGCGAGGAATGACCAGAATATTTTATTTCCTCTTAACATCTTCTTGCTGGTGATTGTGTGCAGGACAGAATGATAACTGTGTGGGCGGCTGCTGTGTATGTCACTGGGAAACAGAAAGGAGTGCAGCTGTTGTTGCCATAAAACCTACATTACATCTTCATCATCTTTTATCTTAGCTGTTATGTTTTGAGGCGCAGAGGCTAGCTCAAACATTCTCTCCATACTTCCAATTTCCGGCTTGGGCAGCTATTTTGAATTTCTACAAATCTATTGTTTTGTCATTGTTGGGGCCCCACAGGCAACATTTACCTCACATTTTAAGGAAACTGTAATATCAGCCATCAGATGAAGACTTCAAATTATCCTCATTCCCTTCTCGATGATGGTATAGATTCAAGGCGGCTGTAATGGAGGCTTTGCTTGCAGACAATTAGGGTCTCGTGTAATTAAACTGTCTTTTATCTATCACAGTCATTACATGGGCCACATCTGAAGACAGAATGTGGACATTAGGCAAGTCACATTAAAATGTAATTGACTGGTAAATAAAGTAAACAAATAAATTATCCCCACAGCTGTGCAGCTCTAGTCAAAGAATAAGCAAGAAAAAGACTGCTCCATGGCCTTGACAGCAGATGCATTTTGATGTTTGTTTTGAATTCATTGGTGTACCTTCTTTTCTTTTCTTCTGAGCGTTTCTTGTTAACTTTGCAATGCTTGCTACACCTTCTGACTTTCTGTTTTTCCTGGGGTTTTTTTGCCCATTAAGATGAGTGGTTGAAACCATCAGTTCACCAAAATAACCGTCACAAGCCTTGACTTCTCCTGAGTTCATCCCTTACAGCTGGGACTTGTGTGAGGAAGTCAGTCTGTGAAGCAAAGAGTTTGCCAGAGGAAACTGTCAGTAGTGACTTCTGACAGCCTTCGTGATAGAGGTTTCCAACAGAGTCATGGTCTTGTTAATGACTGAACTGCACAATGGGCCTGATTTAAATGCACCAATCAACCCTTATCTAAATATCAACCCTGATTATTAAGTAGCTTCATATCAGTAGCACTGATTAAGGACATTTTATTATTAATTATTACAATAATCTTAACTCAGGCAGACGGGGTTCAAAATATCTGGCTTTAAGAGTATCAAATTAGTGCGTGTAATTTAATCAGTTTAATCAAAAGGACATTTTTTTGATGATCTCCACCTTGGGCAGAGGTCATCAAAAAGAGATTTATGAGCATTTATATTTAATGTCTTTCTGATGTGTGTCTGTGGCAGATGGAATTTTGGATTTTGACTTACTTAGGTAGGGGATTTAGAAGAACACACCGTAGATACTTTTTGTGATGATATGATGAAAATTATGATAGTTATGAGGTGTTAAAACCCTTAATTAGATGTATGAAGTATGATTACTTCTCAAAGCGAGCAAACGATTGCTTAAACTCAGCTATGGACGATGTTGTGTCGAAAGAAATCCAGCAAAGCTTTGTTTTAGTTTTTAAAAAATTCACTAGTAAAGAATTCAAAAATATTTTACATTGCAGTATGGACAGGTTCAAAAGCTACCTATTGTAAACTGCAATGACTTGTATTTTAAGAAAGAGTAAAAAATAAATAAGAAATAAATAGAAACCTAGAGCAAGTCACTACTATTTTGGCCAAATAGGGATCACATCAAAAATCTTAAATGAATTCCACTTAACATATTTACATTTAGCATGTTTATGAAAACCATCGTTTTGTGATTTTATTTAATGATTACTCTAAGAAACTATATTTATTCACCTTTCACCATGAGATAGCCCAGGTTCTGTGCAGCTGATGAAAACAGCATTGCTATCTGTATTATCATCCATTCCTCCTGTGGTTGTGCTTTGCTCCTTCATACAGTGCCGGCTCCAGCAAAACTGATCTGACATCCCCAAATAGCATGGCGATGAAACCATATCACAGTGTTCAGATTTCAATTCTGCTCCTTGGGGAAATATTGTTTCAAGCCATTACTCTTCATCAAGGGGACGTCATACCCACTCTATGCAGCTATTGTCCTCCATGGCCCGTGTCTTCAGCTGTGCCCCTGAGACAATAGCACATGTGATGTACAAGCTGCTGAACCCATCATGCAGCCCCAAAGGACCACAGTGCAATGATCAAAATCCTTAAATGGTGCTTGCATAGAAATTTCATCATTATTTTGGGAGTGAAATGCATCAAACACCATTCGCTTGATGAGATGTTCATATGCTGAAATGGTGTAGCTTACAAAGTACTTATTAAAAAAAAGCAATGTGTCATGAATCACTTGGATACTGTGATCTTCCCTACGGTCTGTGTTGAATATGCTCACTTTCAGTGCGACTGGCACAGCACCAATGATCCATGCCCATTCCCCATTCATCTTCACTGCTCGCTCTGTGTACGGAATTCCACAAATTACAGCCCTGGTGGACTCATGCTGCTCTAATCCTCAGCAAAACTGCAAGGGGTTATGTGGGGAACCCTGCCAGTTACCTTGGGGGGCGAATGATCTCTCCGACCTACCCCTACTAACCCCAGTGGTTGTACCACAACGGGAAAAGATCGGTCTCTGCTTATTATTACTTCCACCTCCCACAATCGCACAGAAGATGAATCATACCTGTCAATCCTTATCCCTGGTGCAGGGAGGCCATGTTTGTTTATATTGATCGGCAGCATATGTGGCACAGCTGTTGCCGGCGTAGCCTGGCACTGGCAGAGGTTTGTTCATGCTTTCCCTTGGCAACAGTACAGTTGGCAGGCAAGACAGCAAGCAGTACGCACTCGACTAATCAATACAAACAATGAAGCAGCAAATCAAGAATAATGTTGGAGCAGATAGAAAAAGGGGAGTGAATAAAGCTTTTGATTATTTGCTGCTCAGAAATAATTCTGTTTAGGATCTAGTAAAATGTGTTCTCATCGTGCTTAACTATTCTTTGTGTTATTCTTCATCTTGTGTGTTTAAAGGAATATGAATAATGCATAAGGGATCTTTATACATTTTGTCAGATGTTCCCTTGTTTGTCGTTATGGCAATTGAACCTCCAAAACTTATTTGATATTCAGCATATTTATACTGTATATTTATGTAAATCCTCTTGCATTACCTAAATACTGTAATTGTTATGAGATGACCACATTTGGATACTTTCACAATAAGGAAGACCTTCTGGTTTGATGATCAAATGCGAGAAACATTTCCCTTGCACATAATTTGTATACCTATATAGGTACTGATAGGTGAAACACTACAAGGACATCAGTGGTGCACAAACGTACTTGAATAATAGTCTATAAGGGGGTACAACAGACCACAGAAATCCAGAATCATGTGAATGTGGGAAATTGTAAGAGCAAGTGTAGGAAGTGGGGCAGATTACTCAAGGTGCAGCATCTGGCAATGATTAGTGGCCATTAATTGGTGTTAACTGGTGCTACTAGTGTTTACAGAGTTGAAGGATAATTAGCTGGGGGTCAAGTCAGGGCTGAAATGAACATGTCAGAACTCTGCAGGTGTCTCATGAGAACTAGGTAAGGTGGTGGTGGAGTGTACGAAATTTCGTTGGCAGGATTGTGTGGGATTATGCGGATGGTTGTGTGTGTGTGTGTGTGTGTGTGTGGGCAGGTAAGTGAACGTCATGTGGATTATTACGGGTATTTTACTGAGTGAGATCAGTTATCGTGTGTGTAAGTGTGTTTTGGATAAATAGAGAAAGAATGAGCGTCTATGTGTCTGTCCTGGTGTGGATCACCACATGAGCCAAAGTGACAAAAATTAAGCACCTCAAGAATAGCTCTCAGCAGGGCCCAGACTTGATTTGCCAGAGTAAACAGTGAAAAGAAATACTCCAGCCTAGTCAGCCCGTCTGCAGTGTGTCCATGGGGAGACCTATTGCAGAGATCCAGCTGCAGCACCTGCATAAACACTAGAACTCAGTGTGGGCAGCCACCACACACAGCTGGGGAAATATGCAAGCACTGTGTTGGCGAAAGCAAAGTAGACACTGCTCTCTGATTGGAGTTTGTTGCGGAAAGCTGATGCACCATGTCCAAAAGAGCGGACATTGCTGTTTAACTAACTGTGGATGGAGGAGACAGGAATAGCAAGGCAGCATATCATCCCTGGTGTTGGTAGCATCCATCACAGCACATGGGGAACCCCGGAGGACTAGCCACCACTTTGTGGAAAAAAATAATAATTAAAAATAATAAAAAAATAAATCTGAATGTTAACGCCAATGCGGAGGTCACATAAGATGTAAGTCCTCTAATGGCCACTAGATTTACATCTAATCATTTGGCACAATTGATGAGATGAGAGTTCCACATTTAAACAAATGGAAGTAAATGGTAAAACACAGTTTTCTTTCTAACAGTGCAATGTTGCATTTTTTCTTTCTCTTGGTGTTACACACTCAGTAGCATCATGTGGAGATCAGGAATGGACTAACAGCTAAGTCATGCCCCCCTTCACTTCAGTTGCTACGCCTATCAAGCTTTCCGTTTGTATTATGCATTATTCTGTCCCCAGCTGACTTTTTAATGTTTCAAACTAACTCGACCCCTTTAAAAGGGACATAATCCTGCATACTATATACATAATATTGTACTAAAAGAATGATGCTCACATGACATATGTTCACCTAATAACCTTTTGGTTCCACATCCTCCCAAAGACATTTGGCAAAACAGATAAACACAAGCTGAGTACAGTATGGAATTTCTGTTTTTATTGTTGTGTTTTATGCTCAACTTTGTTTCCTACCTGGACCTTCACTGCATACCATTTTTCTCAAGTCTTTCCCAACTGTTGGCGATGACAAAGGGATGTCTGCCATGGTAGCCTTGACACATCCAAACTCTCACACTGGAGGATAACTCTCAGCCATCACAGTTGCTACAGGATAATGACTGGAGCGAAACGGGACTAAATCCTTTGTACGATATCTTATCTCTCTAGGTCTGTGGATTTTTTTTTTCTTTTATGAGACCTTGCGTTTCATAGACCCCAAATTCATTTCACTCTGTATCAGTGCTGATACAGTTTCCCCGTCAATGAGAGGGAACTCTGGGGCTGGGAGATAGAGGAGGGGGGTTCACCACACACTACAGGCATAGCAGGAAAACTGAGATAAGAATATTAAATGGGAGAAAGAATTGTGTCTTCTCCTCCAAACCAATAATGTGTGGGATAGAAATGAAAAGGGAACATTCAACTTCAGCCTAACAAATTTTAGAGGGTAGAGTGTGTTTCTGTGTGTGAGCATACGTGTTGTGGGAGAATGAATTGTAAAACATTGTTTTATGGAATGCTATTTCAATTAAATTATGGAATGTCTTCTTAAAGTAAATATAGTAGGGTAATCTGAATCAACTAAAAGTACAATTCTCTACAACAGACTTCAGTGTTCATGCTTCACCAAGGCCTTAACTGTGCAATTTTGATTTTGGGCTGTCCCAGGTGAAAGTTAACAATCATAAGAGGAATGTGGTGAAATTTTGGTCACCTGTGATCCTACGGTGTAATGCACTGTGAAGCATATCCGCCAATTGGAAGTGTCAGTCACGATGAAATTCTCGGTGATCTGAAGACAGAAAGAAATGTTGCAGAATACACTGGCTGTATTTTCAAAACGTGAGAGCGGAGCAGATGGATGACATACACAGTGTGATATAACAATAAACCTGTAGGATCTCGAATATTATAGAGTGTGTAGGGGCCTTAAGCCCCTTTTAAAAACAGGTCTAACTGTCCGTATTCAAAGACATGTCCATATCCATGTGGATACATTTTTCTGATTGTTGATCATTCCCTTGCAAGGAAATGAAGAAAGTCTATTTTGCTGTTTACAACTGACACTCAGTTAGAAAATTAATCAGTCCCCCTGATGATGACTGCAAATTGCCCAAGATTATGTTGACACGTCTTCATTGCTGCATGTAGGAGGAGGCGATGGCAGCAGAACTGCCATTTAGCCTGCCAGTGGCCCTAGGGGATTCTTCTTCTCTAGCATTCTTTTTAATGTCTGGCAATTAAAGGCCGTCTAACTGCCTGAGAGAAGGAGAGATGGAGAGAGAGGAATAGAGGGAGTATGACTGTGTATAAAAGAGTGAGGTTCAAAGAGAGAGACAGGGATGGAGAGACAGAATAGAAATAAGAGAAAAACATAAAGATAGGCACATACACATAGATCTCAAAAACTAGATGATCATGTTAGGACTATTTAATACTGTCTCTGTGGTGTGGTCACTTAAAGAATCAGCCATTTGTACTGCTGAAATTCTATTTAATTTAACAAGGGGTACCCAATCGTTGCTGAAATTTTTCACTTCACACTAACAGGCCCCGGGGGGAAAGCCTCTCATCTCCTCTAAAGTGTTATCTATAAATTACAGTGATGTGCACCGTCCGTACACTGCAACTGTTCATCAGGCAAATCCATCCTGCCTAGTTTTCATTCACACTAGCAGTTGATGCTAATGCTTTCCATATCTATCAATGTGACAGGCACAGCACGTTGGTTTGTTTCACTCAACGGGAGAAATTAATCACACACATTTAGTATAACAAGAGAACATTTGAGCTCTGCATTAACTACACTCATGCTGGTTTTGATGGCCATATTAAGATAACCCTTTCAGGCTTCTTATTGAGGCTATTTGTTAACTGTTCTAACTTAAGTGTCATAGCAGATTTTGGACTTGTACATATGTGAATTGCATGCATTTATATAGTACCATCTATAGTATATACTATGTTAAAGTACAGACCTTAAGTGTACTCAAGGTTGCATAAAAGCTATTTATGTGAATGTGCAGCATTCCTGTTTCCTGGGAAATATTTCTGTAGATAAAAATATTATCATTGACAAATGTCATTCGAATACTTGTTCTTCCATCACGGGGCTGTGTTAAAGTGCTCTCTATCAATGGCAGCTTCATAAGTAAAGCATAATGCAGGCACATTATAGGCAGATTACATCTATTAGTTACTGCTGTGCTGCATGCAAATGGCGCGCCCATGGGAGAGCAGAAAATCATTTTAAACTTCAATAAGTTACAAGCGGTGGCAAGTCTACCCATAATCTGCACAAGGCCCCAGGCAACAATGAGGCTGGATGCAATTAGGGGGGAAATAAAATTCTACACAGTAAACAAAGAAAAAATGTTAAAAGACTGATGAAAGAAAAATGAACATCGCACAGTGAGATTGCCTCGTCTTTGATGAGGTCGGCTGTTGCTTCCTTTAATTGCCACAGCATAATGCTGCAATAAGGATAATTTGTTGTAATCTGACCAGGCAAGAATGACTTAAGGCCAACATGTCAAACTAATATGATGTTTTTAATTAATAGAACATGTGTCTTTGTCACAATAATAACATGTTCCAATTTTAGGAAATGCAAGAGCGTACACATGGCTTTTGTGATGATCTTTTGCAAATGTGGAAGAAGGATTCAAATGATTTACTAAGGTAAAAGAAGCAATACCACAGAATGAACATACTCAATTACAAGTAAAGTTGTTTATATTATGTTTGTTTATATTAGCAACAGAGGGTACTGTAAGTATGTATCAAATCTAAAAATATTAATTATGCAGAGTGGTACCCATCAGTTTTATATTATTATATCACTGTTATTGATGTAATAATATATAAATGGTTGCTTTAGATGAGTACATTTATAATACTTTAATTACCTGTAATACGGTAATGTACATTATTAAATAGAAATGTAATTTTCACCAATGATATTTTTAACCTAGTAATATCAAAAAGTTAATATATCTTACAGATTTGAGATCCAGTAGGTTTTGTGCTTGTGCCCTGTAATGAGTGGGATTGTCACGACTGTCAAACCTCACGCGCTCCTCTGTTGTTTTTGTTTGAACGCCCCGCCCCTGGCTCATGCTGTTGGTCAACTCGACAATACACGTGTCTGATTGGAGAAAAATCCTGTCTGTCATCACTGTTGACGTGTAAACCAGGAACTTGCAATGGAGGAAGTGGTGTGTTGGCATTCCTGCGAAATTTGGATCAAAGTACCATAAAACCGTCAAGTCTTCAGACCTCGCGTGTCCACATACAGCAGCCAGGCATTTCGTAATGCAGAAACACCTCTACTAAGCGACATATTCTCTCGATAAACAAGAACAGTGTAAGTATCTATTCGTGAATCCAATTTATGAAGACTTGTTCATTTAACGTTAACGTTGTTACATCTCCACTGAAAAGCTTAACGTTAGTAGAGTTGAATGATATCCTTTTGAGTCCTGCAAGACTTCCATCTTCATGTTCGAGACTGCAGAGAGAAGAAAGGTGCAAATGCATGCATATATCTGTTATCAGCAAAATGTGTTAGGTCCTTGCCACAATACTGACAGATAGAAAGCTGTAATTACTTCTAAATGCCAGACACCACAACCCCCCGAACAACAAGCTATGCTATAAAAGTTGCATGTAACCTACACCCAGTCCCCATTTTTCCACCTAGCAAAAACTAATGCAGGCTAACTAGCCTGCATTTTTTTGGTCAAACTGTTTTGAAAGATGTTAGAGGTATTACACTAAGAATTATTACAAATATTTTGTTCACCCCATAAATATCACTGAGGATAGACAAAATATTAAAATTAAATCAACACCTATTTTTTTTTAACATATCCTTCATAGGGTAGAATTTATTACAGGACTGATGATCAGACTGCGTAACTTATAAGGAGGTGTAACTAATAAACTGGAAACTGAGTGTATTTTAACCCAGCATTACTCCATAGTGATGCTCTTGTTTTATCAGCATGCCTTCTGGATTCAAGCCATAAGGAAACTACCGTATACTGTGTTCTTTCAGTGCATTCTGCCTGTGGATGTTGTCATACTTACAGGTTTTCCCAGATTGTGGTGTAACTAGGGGTGGGAATCAAAGGGTACCTCACAATACGATATGATGCACGATACATGGCTCACGATACCATATTATAATACAGCAATTCTGTGATGTTCGATATTGCTAGACAATCCTAAAATGATACATCATGATATCTAACTTTCAATACAAAATGCCTTCGAAAAGGTAAAGTTTTCTCTATTTATTCGCTTCAAATCCAAACTGTTAGAAAACAGCACAATTCTGCAGCACATGTTTTTCAGTCTGTGAATTAAAATTACAGAGCCATAGAGCAACTATGAAAAAATAATTTAACAAACATTTCTTTATAAAAGGATTTCACTAAATTTACTGAAAATATGAAACTACTGGGTACCACCTATACCTGATAATTGTTCAGTGACTCAGTGTTGTGTGTTTTGACCCTTGGGGTTGCTGTAGCTAATCAGTGTGGAGCAGACCAAGCCAGTGAAGTTAGCAGCTCTTTTTTATTTCACACAGAGCACAGGAAACATATATGTACCTTAAGTATTTGCAAACTATGTCACTCTGGATGTTAAGCATGATAAGATTATATACGTTCGTTAGCATATCAATGGAGATTTCCATTTAAAATATATTTATATGATGAGCTGGAATATCGATACAGTATCATGGAAATGGAAAAATGTATAACGATATATTGCTTTATCGATTTATTGGCACATCCATAAGTGTAACCATGTGCAAAGTAAATAAAAAAACATTTGTGACTTAATAATCTTTAATCAATGAGGAGAAATTCACCCTTAAATTAATTTGTTTTGCACAGTAGTTCCACCAGGGATGGAACCTTAGGCTTCTAATTAGAGGAACAACTGTCACTAAAAGCCATAATTAAAAAATGCTAGATTTACTTGCCAGGTCTAGTTTAGGTTTTCCAGTTAATTGAGGTTATGATAAAGTGTTAATGACTAGAATGTAATATCAGCCTTGTCATCCAAACATATAATGTGCAAGAAGTGACAGAAAGGCACCAACAATGCTCCTGTCACTATGCTTACAGTTGACATTTTTTGTTATGGTTTCATATCCCACTGTTGCAAATGCAAAATGTACTGTAACACATCTGCAGAAATTTCAGTGAGTGGAATGACCACAGGTGATCACAGAGGCTTCAACTGCGTTGCTTTTGGCAATTTAGACATAATATTGTGATGCTGCCGCACAGTACAATAGAGCCAGCAAATCTGAGCGCCTACTGTGTCCAACTGTAAAAATTACATTTGGACAATTTTCTCTCTTCCTTTTGTCCTCCTCTCACTTCTTTTTAATTTGCTGACTCTGGTTTTCAAACGCTGGAGAACAATAGCTGTGAATACAACCCCCCTTCTCTGTTGGCACTAACAGTGTTTAAAATGTAGCTGAAAGCAGTGTTTTTAGTGTAAGGTAAAATTCAGGTTTCCCAAGGCGGCAGTCTCCCATGAGAAGGTATCAGTCAGCCAGCCACGCTCCTTGAACATGCTAATTCAGTCTCTTTCCTCTATTCCCCGACTGCTCCTCTAGACTCTTCACCACTCCTGTTCTCCTAGGATGCACATAGATACCTTTCCTGTTCTCCTCTCTGTTCTCTCCTGTGCACACCTGCTTACACATTTCTCTCCCTGTCACACTTAAACATGCTTTAAAAAATCTAATCCTCATTAGACTAGAAGGACATGATGGATATTTAGTATTCTTTGTCAAAACACATCCCACTTGTCTTTCAAATCATGCTAAAATCTTTCAGGCAGAGAACAGGTCAAAGGGACAGTATCATCAGAAAGCACAGCCCCTCGACTCATACTTGCTTTTTCCACAATTTTAAACAAAAGGCTACAATATTGATTGATGCAGTGTGTTGTGAGGGAGCCTGTCTGGAATTTAGAGTGCTCACTGAAAAACAAGTATGTTGGATGGATGCAAGAAACACACACACACACACACACACACACACACACACACTGAGTTTTATCACTGTGGCATAGTCATTTCAGGTAGTTGTACGTCTATACACACCCATGCTTTGATATAAATGCACTGCCTTATACACTGGCATTTATTCTGTTACACAAGCACAGTCCCACACTTGCATAGTGTTAGTCCTAAGGACACTATTTGTATTATTCCTAGCTCTTTCTCTCTTTATCTTCCCTGTGAGCTGTCAGGGTAATCAGACAGAGCTCCTGGTGTGAAGGGAGATGGTGTTAGACTAAATGAGATGGATAGAAAGTGCACATACTGTGAACGTAACACACGTGGAATGTGGTGGGATTTAATTTAATTATGTCTAGCAGATGTATGTGAAAGATAAACCATCTGCCTGATCAAAACTGACTACAGAACTGTATATATAATTGTATATTAACTTGAATCCTTCCTGCAGATTTCACAAGTTATCTCAGAGTACAGCAACAGGAAGGGAGCTATATCCTTATTTGATTAAACTAAACGATCAGGTGTAAAATTGAGACCCAGCTGTGAAAAAGTTCATTTTTCACTTCATTTTTTTGTCAGGCTGAAGAAGGAGAATGGGGAAGAAGGATGCCAGTGCGACCAGATTACCAGTTGATCAGTACCGAAAGCAGATTGGTGAGTCCTCATTTATCCTGGTGCAGGTTAATCAAATTGTTGCTCTTCAGTAAATTAGTCCGCTTTAATCAAATCAAGTAATATATTTTGTATTGTCAGTTGATTTGATAGTTTGACATTGGTTAGAAACCGATCTAAAGAAATGCTCAGAATGCTTTTCTTTGTTTTATAAAATAAAAGACATTCTCTATGACATTTTTTTTTACAATAAATGATTGACAGTTTAATCAAAAAGATAATCAGTGTATTAACTGACAATTAAAACACTAAGTTCTGTAAATGCGCCCGTAATGCTTTTTGACAGTTGAGATTGGTCTTCAGCTTGTTGTGTAACAAACAAAAATCATAACTCAGTGCTTGATGTGGGCAATTTTACCACAACACAGTAATCAGTGCAGCGTTCTCTCACAGAAACAAGCTAACGTCACACTCAATAAATCTCATGTGATATTGTATTGCATTGAGCAATTCTGTGGTAGTTTGATATATTTCCCAAAACTGCCAAACAGCCCAACGGTTTTGAAGATAGTAACACTGGCTATGCAAACATTAACATAATCTCTTTGCACAAAAAAAACTTAACTAGACTCACTGGATTAGAACCAGTGTACAAGATGTGGAAGGAATTACACTTGGAGATGAAAAAGCTGCATCTAAGGTCACATCACTGATGGATAGTGAATTCCGCGCTTAAAAAAACTGCCCCTTTTGATATCATGTCAGAAGCTGTTTTGTCAAACTTTAATACCACTTTAATCCTGCGGTATTTTGTTTCCCCATCTTTCCTCTTACATCACAAAGGCCTAACTAAGGCAATATGGTCGGTATCAATCAAAAAGTTTGGTCCCCTTTAGCATGCCAGCTGTGGTTGCTTGAAGATCACAGCTCATATCATGTCTTTTTGTTTTTGTTTTCCTCTTGTGGTGCAAAACCAAAAGGTGGCCAGTGGCAAAGCTGGATAATTGCAAGCAGCTATGACTGACACACACACAAAGGGAAGCTCTGTTCTACTTATAGGATTAAGGTTTCTACTTCAGGTCCCAAGAGTGGGATATTGTGTACATGAAGTGCAGCTAGCAAGTAGCCTTATTAAACACGAAATGTGCTCACTTTCCGATCCAAGGAAGAAGATTGAGAAGAGTGACACAATTCAGAAGATGTTATAATAATATAACATATTATATTATTATATGTTATAATACTGGCAGGGCACATTGGATTAAGTATATCCATCGTGTCTCCACATTGGAGACCTCTGGCTGTGGGAAGTCTAAGAAGCAGGTTCTTTGCAATAGTGGTCCACTTTCAATAAGACTAAGATTTTTTAAGTCTGGAGAACAAGACCACTTCATCCCATCAATCAGAAGTCTTCCACCGAACTACAAGACAAAAAGAAAAGAACACACAGAGGGATTTAGGCACATGCTCAGGGATGAGGTCGGACATACAGTACAAGGATGGAACCCAGATGACCTAATATTTAACTTAGTCTGTCTTGTTACTTTTGAGCATCATCATCAATTTGCAAGAGGGGGTGATGTGGACAGACGCCTACTACAGGTTGAATAGAGATGGATTTTCTGTCTTAAAAACATCACGCCCCTCTGGCCTTAATGTGTTACCTTCTTGTTTTCTTCAGGTTGTCAATTAAAATGTTCTGTACTAATCCACATCCCCCCTTCTGAAAATTGTGCCAACTACAACATTGTTCTGGTCCCCTTCCTCCCAGTGGATGATGGTTTGTTGGCCCCTGATGATTCACATCCTCTTATTATTTCAGGTTTTTATCTTTCCTAGTGTTACTTTTGTGTTAACAGCACTCATGAGATGGTCTCTTAAGCCAAATGTTTTCTCTTAATGCTTGTTTTTGTTTCTTTTTCTCACTTTCACAATATACTTTTTGCAATGGACAGGCTATATTTTGTTTTGTATTTTCTAAGAATGTGTTAATTCTCTGAAATGTAAACAGTCATCGTTATTCTGACTACAATAGCAATATTTGTCTTTCTCAGGCACGTGATGGTCTGTTAAAAAAGTCTTTTACTCTACCATGCTTTAAGAGACAGGGTGACAAAAAAAGAAGCGTAACAATTGTGTATGTTTTCAAGAATAGGATTATTTAGAGCATAGGTAGCTCTTAACCGTCTGCTATTGTGTAAACCCAACATGTTCAAAAAAAAAAGAGATTGCCATAACATAACTCTTGCTCTGTCACATCCCCTATCAAAGGTGCAGAAAATCTTGTTTTTTTCCTTTATTCCTTCCCATTTAGTTTTGTTTCTTATCAATTCAAAACTATGGGTGTCAGGGACACTTTGGTCCTTTCTTTACCTCCGCCTCCTTCTAACCCCTCAATTTCTACCTTTTCTTTTTCCTTCTTTTTGAAAAGAATGGCCATCAGGCAATTTCAGTGAACCGCTGTTTAACAGAAAAGGTGGAAAACAGAGAGAAGGAAGGGGAAAAGACGTCGGAGAGGAAAATGAAATGTTCAAAGATAGCATGGGGCAGGGTCTTTTCAGAGCTACAGGCCACACATGGTAATTTAAAATCGTAATAGGGTGGCTTATTCATGGAACATCAGCAGTAGTCCAGATTGTCGGGCTGTACCATCATCTCTGCTAGAGTGCTTTTGTCATGTCAGATGGCTATCACAGGGTCACTGTGTTGACACTCTTTTTAAATACCATTATTAAGCCGGTTGTAATTGACTGTGCCAAGCTGCCCTCAGGAGAGGTAAAGCTATAGTGTGCTTACGTGGATGTGCAGGTGGTCACTCTGTTGAAGTAATGATTGCTGGTGCCTGCAGAATAAACTAGGGAACGTTGTCTACACAGATATCCAAAATTACAAGTACATGAAGATGCTGTTGTTTTCTTCTTGTCTTTATATTAAGCATAATATTCATTACTTTACTAGTTTTATAGGCTTTTACTGTGATTCTCACGTGGACTGCGAGATGTGTCCTCCCCCTCTCCCCGCCTCACATAATGCAGGACAAGGCATAAATTTCTCCCATGTGTCTGGCACCAGCCCTCCAGTTTCACTACCATGCATCTTGGCAGATTCCAGTGATGTGCACCATGTGGTCACTGACTATTTGGCCACCACGCCACACAGACACAGAAGCAAAGCATGAGGAACTGTCAGACACGCTGTTAGTGTGTTGCCCGAATTTTGGATGTTGCGGATTAATTGACACGTGGAAAAGTTGACAGAGATGACAGCAACTTGGGGAAACAGTTAGTACGTGTCTGAGAATGTAATTCTGGCAGGTCAGCTCTTTATTTACTGGTAAAAGAAAGACATATTTTCAGTTAAAATAATGTCTTTTATAACATGATGCATGAAATTTAAATGTGGTGTTAATTTGGTATCATGAGGTTACTTAAAACTGTGCCATGACATGACCACAGATCGACGCATTGTTTGATACAAGCATTGTGACTTAGCACAAGGCGATTCTGCCAGGACACTGTCAAAGATAGTTTCCTGCCTGTCAAGCCCATCAGAATATTAACATTGCGTAATGGAATACTTGAATACTGTATAGTCCATTAAAGCAAGGTTTTTTCCTGGCACAAAATGAGCCAAAGGTGGTACTGTATCTCAGCTGTGACTTAATGAGCCTAGACACAATTTTAATATTTTTACAAACAATTGTATGTGGCTTACGTGTGCATAGCCAAAATATGGATACGTTGATTGGTATAATTGTTTTATTGGCAACACTTTATAATATGGTACATTAAAATGTGAATATTTACCAAGTGGCAACAGAGGGAATGACCTGTAAATTAATTAATCGTTAGTGAGTAGTTTCTGAATAACTGATCTGATGACATTATAGTAGATAATCATGAGGTACTACAGTCTACTCTCATTCATTATCAGGTTGTTCCTTGTACTTTACTTCCTTTTTTGTAGCATAATGTCAAGTATTCCCAAATCATATGTGCAGATTTTTTTGTATTGAAAATTCGACTAAATCTTTCCTGTTGTTGACACAGTCACACAACTAAGACTAAAGAAGAATCAGATGGGTATGACAACAGTAAGTAATTCATAATTCAAGGCAACTAACTTAGGGATGCACTGATCCGAACGTTTCAGTCCTGATACCGATGCCAATACCTGGGCTTTGGGTATCGGCCCAATACAAGTGTAAAATGAATAACCTGTATTCCTCACTGTGAAGAAGTTCAAGTTCATTTTATTTATATAGCACGTTTTATAGCAGCCACTGACTGACCAAAGTGCTTTACAGAATTAAAAGACAATAATACCATGCATAACAGCACAGCATAGAAAAGTACAGCAAAGTTAAGAACAGCTTTAAACAGGAGTAGCCAAAGCAGTATCAGACTCGTCAACAATAACAATAAAAAAACAGAAATGCCAGTATCAGACTTAGATAGAAAAAAACAGTATCATACTCCAAGGAGAGAAAAATTAACAACAACAAAAAAAAATATATATATATATAACACCCTTATTTATAGGCCAAGGAAAACAAGTGCGTTTTTAAAAGTGACTTAAAAGAGGTCACAGAAGGGGCTATCCTAAGAAGAGACTGGCGATCAATATATTATATTATATATTTTATGTGTAAAGCAATATCTGGCTTGATCAAGCGTGAAATACCGGCAAACAGCTGACCCCTTGTTTTTCTCTCTATGCATGCCCGTTCTACGTGATGCTTCATCGTATAGTATATTTGAATTGAATAGATCAGCCCCCTTGTCACCAATGTCTGATCCATCTATTTGAGTCAGTATCGGACCGATATCCGACAGCAGTATCAGAGCGGTGCATCCCTAAACTAAATGTTATCCTTCTGTTTCGAATATATGATCCACTCACACTGAAATGAAGCATTCAGGGTAAAGTCTGAAGTTAACAGAGGAACTAGTTGAGTAACTCTGCAACACTCTTGACTCTCCCCTCCATTATCTGTCTGTTCTGCCTGAAGCAGTTGTCCTGTGCTGTATTTTGTCTACTTG